CTGTAGTCCACGAAAGCTTATGCTCTAATAAATTTAGTTAGTCTCTAAGGTGCCACAAGTACTCCTGTTCTTCTTTTTGTGAAATGTCACTATGGTGTCTCATGGGAGTTGTAGTTCAGGTGTCTCATGTCCCCATTCTCCTCTCTGGTCCCAACTCCCTGGTTGGACTGCATCTCCCATGATGCATCACAGTCTCCTCTGTTCGTGGGGGGGAGGCAGTGCATCATGGGAGTCACTTGGCAATGCTGCATAATGGGAGATGTAGTCTGAATGGGAAGCCCTGCCCATAAAGGAGAATGGGGGTCATGCAACAACTGAACTATAACTCCCATGAGGATCTGTGGTGCCATATCACGTTCTAAATATTTTGGGCTTCAGTTCTTCTAAAAAATTCTGTAGAAAGAGGTGCTTTTCGTGAAAAATTTTGTTCAGTCTAAAACCCAATTTTCTGTCAGAAAACAGTTTTGATGGGAAATTTACATCCAGCATTAGTAGAATCCTGTCCCCATTGCACCCTGCAGCTTCTTTGCTGTTGAAGAATCTCAGCTCTCTTTAAGCCTTCTGGCTGCTGCAAGTGTGCTCCTCCACCCCTCCCAGACATCACTGAAACACACCGCATGGGCTCCTGTTGCACAGAGCAGGTCGTATGACTCGCCTGAGGTAAATCAGTTATAAGCTGTGCCAACATTTCACGTGTAGAATCCTGGGGCTGACGAGGGTCTGTATACAGTGCAATTGGGAGTGTGACTGCAGTAGGTGTAGACATACCCCAGCTAGATGAGGAAGGTGAACCAAAAAGTCCCTCATGGCTGTTCCTCCCCAGGAACAACCCAAATCCCCAGTGCCCTGCTGCCCATTCTAAGCCTATTCAAGAAGGAACTTCTCCATTGGGAGCTAAAGGCTTCTTAACCTGCATGCCCCATATAAGCCAAAGCAGCTTCTCTGACAGACAAGGCAGGCAGTGTAAAGGCTTCAAGTGAGGTCCTGCTCACTGACTCTTATAACTTTGAGGATCAAGGGGAGGAAACAGCTGAGCTTGGACTTTACCATTTAGAGATACATGTAATTTAGTGTTGATCTGGGCTCCCACTGAATCCTTCCCCTGGCTTCCTCCTTGTAAGTAGATGCCCTGCCCCATGCTCAGGAAGGTTGGTACCTCGTCAGCAAGGGGCAGGGCCAACTACAACCTCAGCACATATGACACCCAAGGCTTCCTAGACAGGAGGCCATCACTGCTTTTGAGAGCAGCAGCCTGAATACCACTGAGGGAAGCACCCCTCCAATAATCTGGGGGGTAGTCTTTGAGGGTTTGGGGAGAAACCCCCCCCCCAAAAGGTGGTAGGGGAGAGAAGGAGGTGTACTGTGCACAAGCCGCCTCTTCCCAGAATCTGAGGCAGACTGGGGGTCATGGGAAGCATCATCCTTCCCCCCCCCCAAGTCTGCGGCACAAAGCTGGGAGTTATGGGACTTGAACCTGGATGGACACTGCTGCAGGGGTGAGGCATTCAGCCTCTAAGGCAGTGTTTTTCAATCCGTGGGTCATGACCAAGTACTGGGTTGCGGCATGTCAGGTGCTGGGTCGCCTTGCTCTGGTCAGCATCGCTGACCGGGATGTTAGAAGTCCCGTCAGTGGTACTGCCAGGCTAAGGCAGGCTAGTGCCTACCTTTCCCAACACCGTGCTACGCCCCAGAAGTGTCCAGCAGTGGGTCTGGCTTCTAGGCAGGGGGGCCAGCGGGCTCCATGCACTGCCCCCACCCCAAGCACTGGCTACACACTCCCATTGGCCAACAACCAGCCAACGGGAATGGGGGAGGGGGGGGCGAGAGTCACGCAGAGCCACTTGCACGCCTCCACCTAGGAGCCAGACCTGCTGCTGGCCGCTTCCGGGGCACAGCGTGGTCTGTGGTGCCAGGACAGGCAGGAAGCCTGCCTCGGCACCCCAGCTGTGCCACTGACCGTAAGCTGCTGGAGGTAAGTCTGTGCCCCAATCCCCTGCTCCAGCCCTGAGCCCCCCAAACTCAGAGCCCCTCCTGCACCCCAAACCCCTCATCCCCAGCTCAGAACCCTGATCCCTCCCACACCCCAACCCTCTGCCCCAGCCCTGAGCCCCCCCCAAGCCCAGAGCCCCTCATTCTTGGCCTC